ATAAGGGTGCCGAACACTTAACACACTCCGTGCCTTTGGGTGCTAGCACACCACAAATGACAGTCGCGGTATCAGGATAGCAGTAGCACGCAGTGACCGAGATCAGGGCCCTGTTGCGCCGGGTGCTGTATGTACATGTTGTGAAGGAGAGCGCCAGTCCTGTAGAGGTTGCAGACTAGACAAGGGGCGGGAGATGAATCAGCAGCACAGAGCGGGGGAGTGATTTGCTCATGGTCACGCAGCAGGCAGTGAACAGACCCCAAGTGTCCTGAGCCCCAGGCCGATTCTCCAACCACTAGACCCTGCTGCCTTGTCCTTTTTATGAGGTAGACCAGGCCACGGGGTGTTTAATACAAGCGATTGGCCTAAATCCTGCAGAAAGAGGGATATTTTCACCCAGTTCACTTGTGCTGCCCTTGCTCTCTGCAGGCTGGGGTCAGAATAACACGACAGAGTGTCCAAGTCCCTATACTGGTGGCAGAGAGTGGAGATTCTCCCATAGTTCAGGCTTTTCCCTGTTGGGGCCTAAGCTTTTGAATGGCCCCTCTGTGCAGGGGGCTACAGATCAGAGTGCGTCACAGCGCTGGTGTCCTAGCAGGCTCAGCTCTCTCTCTCTGTCCCTGCAGATGTCGGACGCGGAAATCACCCTGCAGATCTTCAACGTTTCCTCCCGCTTTAACCGAAAAGACGTCACCTGCTGGGCGGAGAACGAGGCAGGCCCCAGCGAGAAAGCTGTGCAGCTGAATGTCACTTGTAAGCGGCATGCGGATCTGGCTGGGCAGCTGGAGGCAGGGTTTACGAGAGCGAGGATGGCCCGGTGGCGAGGGAGACCTGGGTTCGAGTCTGTACTCTGCCACAGACTCCCGGAGCGACCTTGGGCGAGTCACTTAGGGTCTGTCTGCACTGCAGCCGGTGGAGACGTACCTGAGGTCGTTTGGATCTAGCTAGCTCCAGGAACACTGGCTATGATGCCATGGCTTCCCAGCTGTTGTTGTTCGATGTGGCTAAATCAAAGCTTCGTCCGCGTGGGCTGCCATCACCCCTTCGTCGCTCTGTGCCTCAGTTTCCCATGGTTGACATGGAGCTGATAGCTCTGCCTCGCAGGGGTGCTGTGAGGAAAGTACAACCCAGATCGGGGCGGGGCTCAGATGTGACCATAACGGTTGACCGTAAGAGCAAAACGTTTGCTCTGTTCTCAGCTGAGAAGCCAGTTTTCCCAGCAGCCAGGTCAGTTTCTGGGGCTCCATCCCGAGAGCAACGGGGCCACACCACCGCACGAGGCACACGTAGATTGCAAAGCGGCGGCTGTAAACTCCGGTTGAGGTCTTCAGCATCGTCTATGGGATCGGGATGCGTCTAAATCCCTTAGGCGGCGTTGAAAATCTCAGAGAACGAGAGAAAGTGTGTGTGTTTGTGTGTGCGTGCGCACTACACTTTTGTGGTTACCCACAGTGGATGTAAGAGATCGGGGGCAGGAGAGGGCTCCTTTAGCTTAAGTGCTAGTGGTTTGTGCTTTGGAGCTACAGGTCATAGGTTCTAATCCTGCGTGGTAGGGAGGCCATCTGGTTGCTCCCTACAGAGGCTTTGCGTCTGGCTCGTTGCAGCTGCAAGTGAGCTGCCCAGCCCAGGCAGGTGGTCTTGCGCTAGCGAGGCTCGGGCTAGTGCACGGAAATTAGCAGGTTGGCTGTTCTAGCCCCGGCTCAGGGGGGCTTGGGAGCCCGAGATGGAATATCCATCCTGCTAGCCGGAGCCCCTCTAGCACCAATCTGGGAGGGTCGTTCCCAGTTCCCCTTTAGGAATCCGTAACCCCGGCTGCCCGGCGGGCATGTGGGTGGCTTAGTGACTGTGCCCGCTGCCTTCGGGCCCTGACTCCAAAGCCCGCCGTTGGTCCCTGGGGCAACGCGCCGGCCTGAACCCCTGTTTGTCTTCTCTCCCCGCAGTCCCCGCCGTGATCCTGGACCTGCAGGAAGCCATTCCCCAGCACTACTGGTGCATCCCCTTCTCGGTGGACGGCAACCCGCCTCCGGCCCTCCGGTGGCTGTTCAACGGCTCCGCCCTGGCGGAAGGGCAGTACATCCACACCAAGATCGTGGAGTACGAACACAACTCCACCGTGGCGCACGGCTGCCTGCAGCTCAACCGGCCTACGCACGTCAACAACGGGAACTACACCCTGCTGGCCCGCAACCCGCTGGGCGCCGACGCCCGCACCGTCCCGGGACGCTTCATGGACAACCCCTTCAGCTTCAACCCCGAGGAGCCAATTGTTGGTATGGCTCCCCTCCTCCACCCCGGGTCCTAATAACCCTGCTGGGCTGGGAACAGAGCCTTCCCCACCACGGGACCCACCCTCGGGCGAGCACTAAGGATGGGGAGGAATTGCTTAGGGTGGGTAGGGGTGCCTCAGTTTCCCCTCCCACCCATTTCAGACCGTGTCTGTGCCATGGCCGGCACGACGGGGCCCTGATCTCCTCCACGCTCTAGTAATGCCCCTAATAATAATACTCGATTTCGGGGTTGCTCTTGCCCTCCACACGGCTCCATAAAAGATCTTGAAGGTTATTCGTCGAGATGGGTCGAGACTGAAGCTAGAAGGGCCAGATCTGGCCCATCCCTGGAGCAGCCAGTTGCACCGGTGCCACGTGGGTGTGAAATGCCACCGCTCCACCCGGCACTCGCTTCACCCCAACGAGTCCGTGTTTAGTCTCCTGCTCACACCAGTTTTGCACCAGAGTCGCTCCATTGGGCGTCACTCTGGATTTACACCGGCGTGGAAGGACATTCAGGCCCTGGGTTTGGGCTGAGCAAAAAGTCAGCGGAGGGGTACTCTGATCTGGATTGGATCCAGGCTGTGGGGCTGCCGGCGCTGGGTGTGGTCCGCTTAGGGCAGAGGGTGGGGTGGCCAGGGCAGGGGTCCAGGGAGCTGGTGCTGATGCTGTACAGAGAGTAACGATGCTTTTCCTCCCGGTTTGCCCGCGGCTGCAGTGTCCCTGCCTCCGGTGGGTGAGTATTTCCTAGGTGGTGGCTGCTTCTCTTTGTCCCCCTGCCTGAACTTTGCAAGGCTCCTGAGTGGCTCCGTCTACCCTGGGCGGTGGGAGCACCCTGAACCCTGCACACCCCGCAGGACTGCATCCCACCCGCCTGCTCCAGACCCTTCCCCTTGCCCCGTTACCAACCCCTCCTTCGGGAGGAGAAGCCAGAGGATCTGTGGTGTGAGAGGCTGAATTCATGCAACCAGGGCCTTGGGTAGCTTGTCCTCCACGCCAGGGCTGCCTTCCGGTGAAACTGACAGGATCTTCAGGGCATAACCTGGGGGGTCTTACCTGGATGCACCTGGGAGGTTCTGCAGCAGCCAGGTGCACGGAGGGGTGTGTGGCTAGGGCACTGGCTGGCCCTGTGATCTGGCTCCGTGGGTCAAGTGGAAGCAGGAATCTTGCAGCGCATCCTCCAGCGTTGCACAGGAGAGAGGATGGGTCCTTGGGGGGTTCTGTGGGACCCAGACCCCGTATCCCTGCCCCCACAAGGGGTGCTTAACAGCGGAACCCCCACATTTTGCTACTAGCCCCACTCCAAACCCAGACTCATCACTGATCCCCCAAAATAAAAACCCTGGAAACGTTGAGCTCCAGCCCTGAATTCTGCAGCGTGCGTCTGTCTCTCAGGCTGAGCTAACGCTGCCGTTCTCCCTGCTGCAGGCAAGGGGAACAGCACGCTGGATGGGCCGGTGGAGACGTCAGAGGAACACACGTTTGGGGTGAGCCCTGGGAAAGCGGATTTGGGGGACGGGGGCGGGACAGAGGTCACCAAGAATATTCCTGCCTTTGTTGCCGCATGAGGATGGGGCACACGTAACTGTAGGGTCTATTGCACCTTTCTGGAAGGAGCTCACTGCACTTGGCAAACATGAACCAATACAGCCCCCTCTGAGGTGGGTCAGTATCTTTGCCCCCACTTCACGGGTGGGGAAACTGAGGCACAGAGAGACGAAGTGACTCACAGCAGGTTAGGGATCTTGACTCCTAGCCCTCTGCTCGCATCACTAGATCCCACTCCCTTCCTCGAGCTGGGAGCAGAACCCAGGAGTCCTGACGCCCGGGCCTGCGCTGTGACCTCTACACAACGTTGGCTCGCCCTGTCGTTTCATGTTGTGATGTTAGTGCATTTTCCCCCACTTAAAAGAGAGGCCGCATTTCTAGTGCTTAGAGCAGTGGGGGCTGGGAGCCAGGACTCTTGGGTTCTCTTCTGACCTTGGCTATCAATACCCTGGATGAGCTCGGGCAAGTCACTTCCCCGCTCTGTGCCTCAGTTTCCCACTCTGAGAAATGGGTGTTGTGACATTGACTCACCTTCCAGGTGGCTTGCGAGGCTTAGTTAATAATAGCAAGGGCTCTGAGGCCCTCAGGTGGCAGCTGCTGGGCAGGGCAGAGGACTTCAGTGGGTTATACCACATGGCATGTTCTCCGCCCTGCTGGTAGCCATAATGATTTTACATCAGAGAAGAGCCTCGACCAAAGCCCTGGATCCAACCTCCCCCGAGGTTGATGGGGGGGGCCATAAATGGCAGCTGGGCCTTCACCTCTGCAATGGGCCAGTTCGTGCCCTGGGATCCCCGCCCTCGGGCACCAGGAGTCTGGGTCCGAAGTCAAGCCCGGATCGCCCTCCGGCCCTGTGGACTGAGCTGCGTCTCCTCCCTCTCTCCAGGTCTCCGTGGCGGTGGCGCTGGCTGTCTTCGCGTGCCTCTTCCTCTCCATCATGCTGATCGTGCTCAACAAATGCGGGCGGCATTCCAAGTTCGGCATTAACCGTAAGTCCCCGTCGCCGCTGCAAACCCCTCCTCCTGGCTCACCGACGCTGTGAACGTCGGCGCTGGCAGCGCAGGCCTCTGCCGCTTGAGCTGAAGGAGTAACTCCGCTAAGTGGTAGCAGTAGTAGGCTGTTATCCCCGAAGTGGAACGGCCACAGGGCCCTTACTGAGCTTGTTACCACACCAGGCACAGGGCTGTGTGGTGCGTGTTGGATTCTCAGACCAAATGCGGGTTCCTGCACTATACGCTAGGCGAGCCGAGATCCCTTCCCATGGGCCCCTCTATGCCGCTCAGGCCCCACAGCATGGATTTGGTCCTGCTCGTCTTAGTGTGAGTCAGGCCAGGTCCTCAACTGGGGTAATCAAGAGCAAACCCAGGGGATCCCCGTCTACACTAGGTGTTGCAACAGCCGAGTCTGCTCTAACCTATGCCCAGAACAGTGCTGGGAGCTTTGCCTTCCCCTGTCGCTCCCTGGACCAGGGCCGGGATAAATTCCCCTGCAGGGGCTAAAGCGGGGTCAGACGCTGCCACGGAGTGACCCTCACTCACTTTGCAGAGGGCTCCCCAAAGGTAGGCTCGGGGGACCCAAGGAGAGGCTGGCTGGGAGGGTTTTCACCTTCCCCTGGGCTGGAGCCAGGTGGGCCCCCCCACCTGCGATCCCAGGGCTCCCGAGCATTGACGGGCATCTGCTTTCAGCAGCTCAGGAGAAGCGGGATTTTAGCACCCCGGTGCCCGGCCCTCCCCACCCCTGTCTGTGCCCCGTTGGGCTTGGAGTCATCAGCTCTCCCGGCCCCGCTGCTGGATCTTTGATGAAGATGCCTGGGGGGGGGGGTCTGGGGGGGCGCATCAGGGACAGCCCCCTTGGTAATTACTGCAAAACTACCTGCTCTGCTCACTGCTCCCCACTGTCGGCCCCCCAGCGGTGGCAGTGGTGGTGGGGGGGGGGGCTGCTGGAGCCTGACATCTCTCCCCCGTCCCACGCAGGGGCGGCCGTGCTGGCCCAGGACGACGACCTGGCCATGTCCTTGCACTTCATGAACCTGGGCAGCAGCCCCCAGTCCTCAGCCGAGAGCAAACTGGAGGGGCTGAAAACCAACTTCATTGAGAACCCACAGTACTTCTGCGACACGTGTAAGGGCCCTGGGGGGGCGCAGGGCGGGTCCGGAGGAGCAGGTGGATTCCGGGGAGGGCTAAGGGGGGGCTCCCAGAGGGTTAAGGAGGGGCAGGGCAGGTCCCAGAGGTGGAAGGGCTGGAATGGACGTGGGTACACAGGGGTGTAAGTGGGTGCAGTGACACAGGGACTCACTGGCACTCCCTGCCCCATGTGTGGGGCCCATCTGGGTTCTATAGCAGGGGAAAGGTGCACCCACGCCCACACACATCCAGCCCTGGTTGGCCATGGGTCGGGGTGTTGACGGGGAGTCCTGGACTGGCTGTAGGGGAGCAAAAGCAAAGGAAAGGGGCAAGAGGTTCTCATCTGCTCCCTCCCACCTGGATCCCTTGGCCCCTCCCACCTGGACCCCCTTCTTGGCCCCTCCAGGATCCCTCACTCTTCTCCCCAGAAGAGCCCCAGACCCCACCCCACCTTTCATGCAGCCAGATCCCTCTGGTTTCTCTCCTCCTTCTCCTGACTGGAGCCCCTGGCTCCCCCTTTCTCCAAATTCAGCCCCCACCCCAGCCTGCCCTGTCTCCCTGGCCCTCTTCCCATCCAGATCCCTGCCCCTGAGAGACAGCCGCTCCCCGTCCAGCTCCACACCTCCCCTCCGGGGTGTGTGGGGGTGACGCCGGGCGTTTTGCTCAGTCCTTGTTCCTTGCAGGTGTCCACCACATCAAGCGCAGGGACATCGTGCTGAAGTGGGAGCTGGGGGAAGGGGCCTTTGGGAAGGTCTTCCTGGCCGAGTGCTACAATCTCATCCCCGAGCACGAGAAGATGCTTGTGGCTGTCAAGGTAACCCCGTCTCCTCCTCCATGGGAAGCCTCTACTGGGGTGGGGGGATCTCAAGACCCTCCTGTGAGCTTCGCGGCTGTCAACGTGCTGCAAGCAGCAGCCACTCGCAACAGGCAGGGTGGGACTGGAACCCAGATCCACCTGAGCTATGGGAGAATCCCCATTTGCTGTCAGCAGTATAGGCCATATGACACACTTTTGAGGAGTTCTGATTCCATCCAGTAGGGGGCACTGGTGAGTGTATAGCCGCACGCCAATGTATTGAACGGGAGCCCAGTCTAGACCCCTTTGGAGATCAGATCCAAACTCGCCCCTATGGTTCTAGCTCTGGGTGAGACCCAAACGGCCCGGGTTCTTTCCCAGCTGTGATGGGGACACAGTCCCACATGAACGGCGACTGGCCCACTCAATCCTCCTGGCAGTTAGCGAGGACGGAGCCAGAGGAAGCTTTGGGAGTGCTGCAGTACCGCAGCACAGGGTTGAAATCAGGGCCCCGTTGTGTCAGGCGCTGCACGGACACTCAGGGAGAGAAAGTCCCTGCCCCGCTGAGATCAAGGCCCTGTTGTGCCAGGCACTGCGCGGACGCCAAGGGAGAGACAGTCCCTGCCCTGAATCGTTATCAGTCTAACTGGGTGGGTTTGTTCCCCGTGTCACACATGGGGACTGGGGCCCAGAAAGATGAAACGACTTGCCCAGCGTGAGCAGAAGCAGGAAGCTCATGCCCCTGGGGACCCCAGCCCCGGTGCTCACCCTGCCCTCTCTGGGCCCGTCTCCCTCCCCGCAGGCCCTGAAGGAGGCGACGGAGAGCGCCCGGCTGGATTTCCAGCGGGAAGCGGAGCTGCTGACGGTGCTGCAGCACGAGCACATCGTCCGGTTCTACGGGGTGTGCACGGATGGCGAGCCCCTCATCATGGTCTTCGAGTACATGAAGCACGGAGACCTCAACCGATTTCTCAGGTGTGGCCCGGCCGGCAGCCAGCATGGGGCAGGAGATGGGATGGGATGGGGTGGTTCTGTGCTGCTTCGGCCCCCAGCGTAGATTAGAGCAGCCAGTGGGGCTGCTCTAACTTACCTCCGGCCTGAGGTACCATCCAGCAGCCCAAAATAGCCAGAATACGGTGTCCTTCAGCTGCTCCCCCAGCACACCCCTCCCCGCCCTTGGCCCCCCTCTGGCACAGCCCCTGCATGCAGGGTGGCGCCCCAAAAGGCCATTGTGCCAGCCCCACACGCGGTGAACAAGGTGCCCCGTGGCGCTCCAACACCAGAGGGAGGCAGAGGAACAAAGGCTCAGTTGTGAGAGGTGGTTTTCACCCAGGATTCAGGAATTGCTGGGGTGGCACCAGGGGGGTGACCCAGGCTGCGAGGGGGAAGGAGCTTGTGCCCAGGCTGGGGAGAGAAGCAGGGGCGAGGGTGGAGCCGGCTGATGGAGCGCGGAGAGACGTGGCCCGCCGGGTCGGCTGAGATGCAGATGGGGGATAAATGGGGCCTGAAATGAGACGGTGGGTCTGAAGATGGGGGAGGGTGGATGAAGCTGTGGGGGGAGCCGGGATGTGGGGCGGCCGTGAAGAATGGGGGTGGCAAGGGGATGGGAGGCAGAAGCCAGGGAGGGGCGGGGAGCGGAGGCCGTGGCAAACGCAGACTGGCCCCCTCTGCGATGCCCTCCTGGGCCAGCTCTGCCTCCTTTGCGGCATGAAGGAACCGCAGATAAATGCGAGGGTCCTTCTCCCAACCCGCTGCAGCGTGGCAGGGCCCCTGCCCAGGCGCTAGGGCTCACTGAAGCATTTTCAGGGGTTGGGGGGGCAGCTGTTGCCATGGGATGGAAGGAGGGGTGCCATCCAGAGGACCGGGGTGAGGGGTGGTCCTGGAGACAGCCCTAGGGAGAATGGGGGGGCCCCCGCAGAGATAAGAGTGGGGTGAGTGGCAGAATAACACCCCTGCTGCAATCCCCTCGCTAGGCCTGGTTGCCGGGGGTGACACAGGCCAAAGTGGAGGGACAGCCCTGACAGCCCGCCATGGGGTGGGGGACACGTGCCCCACTCGCCCTTTAAATAATACACTGTCACCCCCCCCACCATACACACACACGCGCACACACACACACGCCAGCTCCCAGTTAGGGGGCTGTTTGGTGACCCCCAGCTGGGAGCCTCAGGGGCGACAGGGCCATCCAGGGGCCAGGGTGCCAACTATGGCATCACAACACACGCACGTCGGCCTGCACCACACACGCACTCGACCCTCAGTGACACGCCGAGCACCACATCGACACTAGCACACACTTCTCCAGGCTTCCCCACAGCCCTGCCCGGCCGTGACTCGGGATTATTCGCCCCGTTATGGCGCTCCCTGCCTTCGGATTCCCCCCCCCCCCCCACTGCTCCATTACCACGGCAGCTCAGACAGCCGGCCCTGCTAATGCGGCCTCCTTGCAATATTGATTAGATTAGCTGTCTGAGAGGCTGAAATAGAGGGAGATTGGCCATCAGCTGAAATAAGCAGAGACTTTTCGATTGGCCCCCGAGGTATTGGCACTAGATGGGGCGCTGCCAGCGGCATCGCTTAGTGTCCATGGGATGAGTTCTGAGACCTGCCTTTGATGATTATTGTTATGGGACTTGGCATTAATGGTTTTACTTCCCCGGAGCCGCGCGGGCCTGTCCCCGGCCTCCTCGCCCAGGCTGTCAGCAGCACTTGGCATCAAACGGGCCCCGTGCGTGCGGGCACCTGGCTGGGTGAGGGGGAAAGCATCCCCCTGCCCGCCGGCCGGGTCTGCACCTCAAACCCCAGCCCCACAGGCTTTGGGGGGGCAGGGAGTTGGGCTAGCCCCACATCCTCACCCCCCGCCCAAACACCTCCCCCCATAACCCTCTCCCCTTTACACACACTCGCATGGAGACATTCATAGAAACGCCAATGCGCACATCAACACACACACATGCCCTCAAGCACACACACTCTCACACCTGCCCTCGGGAAGGAATTTCCCCCCCCAGATCATATTGGCAGGTCTCTTGGGGCGGCAGAGGAGGGTTCCACTTCCTCTGCTGTGTAGGGCGTGGATCGCCTGCTGGGATCACCTGGGCATGTCTCTCCTAGTCAGTTGCCTGCTGGTGCCTGGGCCTCGGGCATTGGTGGCACCTTGGTCTGGCCGCACCCAGGCTGGCTTGCACTTTTGCTGCAGACTCTGAAGAATCGGGTCAGTTCGGGTCCGCTCTGAGCCCGGCCTCACTGCAGCCTGCCCTTGCCCTGCTCAGGTCCCACGGGCCAGATGCCAAGATCCTGGATAACGGGAACGGCCAGTCGTTTGGGCAGCTGACCCTGAGCCAGATGTTGCAGATCGCCACCCAGATCGCCTCAGGCATGGTCTACCTGGCCTCGCTCCACTTCGTCCACCGCGACCTGGCCACGCGCAACTGCCTGGTGGGCCGCAGCCTGGTGGTGAAGATCGGGGACTTCGGCATGTCCCGGGACATCTACAGCACGGACTACTACCGGGTGAGCTCCCTGGGTGGGGAGGGGCGGGGAAATGGCCTGATTCTGCTGTCACGCCTGCGCAGGACCCAATCCATAGCCTGGCGGAGTCAATCAGGGCCTTTCTAGCGGCACCAGCGTGGGCGCAGGAGCGGATGCTACTGGCCTGGGCCGGCGCAGTGCTCTCAGACAGCTTGGCTCATGCTGCGTCTGTCCCTCCCTTGACTAGGGTGGCCATGTCCCTCGTCTCCAAATGCCTACCCCCATTGTAACCTCCCAGCACCTCCTCTGCCCCCCCTCCTTAGCGCCTGTCTTCCTTCCGATTAGGCCCCATCAGGTTTGGGGTGAAGGCTCAGGCCTCAACACTGGGGAGAAAACGCAAGTTGCCTCATAACTCACTGTCAACATCCGTGTCTCATCCCTCCACTGACACTTATAACAGCCTACTGCTGCTGCCAGCTAGTGGAGCTCAGGGGCTGGCCCATCTAGAGGATAAAAGCCTACAATTACTGCCAGCTAATGGAGTTCAGTGGCTGGTCTGTATAGATGACAGCCTAATGCTGCCAGTAATGGAATTCAGTGGTTGGGCCATATAAAGGATAATAGCCTACTACTTCTGCCAGCTATCAGAGTTACTCTGGTAGAAATCTATGCTTTGGAGGTCCCATGTTTGAACCCCGTTAGGGATCCCATCAGCCAATTCTTTGCGCCCCGTTTCCCAAGCACCCCTCTGCCCAGGTCCGTGAGGCTGCGTTCAGTGCCAGTGGAGGAATTGCTCCTCCTATGTAGAGACAACGCTTCCCTCGAAGACCCCACCCCACTCTTCCCCCATTGCTGGAAAGCGCAGCGTCAGTCGCTGGCTGCCCCGGGGTAGTCAATGCACTGGAAGAGTGACACTTCTCGGAGCAAACGCATCGCAAGCCACATGGCCGGCCGGCCGGCCGGAGGGCTTTGCTGACTGCGGAGACCCATCCATCTCCATCTCCTCAAGAGCTCTGCTGGGATCGGCCTCTGTGACAGGCAGGGGGCTCCGAGGGGCCTCTTCCAATTTTCCCTTTTAGCTCCTGCCCCACCTCAGCCCCCTATGCATATTTAATGGGGCCTGCGATGGAAAAGGGAGCGCAGAGCACTTAGCGAGTGGAAAGGCAGCGTTGCCAGGAGGTGGGAGGGGCCCCTGACGGGCTGTTGTGAAAGGGTTAAATAAAGGGGAGAGAGAGAGAGAGATGGTATGAAATGAGCCCGTTTCTGGGCCCAATTCTGTTCTGCCGGTGTAAATCAGGAGTGACGCTGGTCTCACGCTGGTGTGAGCAAATGGAGAATCCAGCCCCGCCCCTTTCATCTCTCTTCTCTCTCTTTTTTCATTCCATTCTGCTCCTTCCCTCTGTCTTTCTTCCTTCTTGGTTGTTTCTTTTCTTTCTTCTCCCACTTTTTCCTTCTTTTACATTCTTCCTTCTCTTTCCTTCCTCTTTTTCATTTTTCTCTCATCTTTTCTCTCCTGACTTTTTCTTTTCTTTTTAATTTTCTCTCAACCCTTTTTCTTTCTCATCTCATTCTCTCTCATCCTTCTTTGGCTTTTTCAAATTACTTCCTTCCTTCTCTTTCTTTTCTCATTTTTTTTTCTTTTTATCTTCTTTCTTTCTTGCAATATTTTGACTCCGCCCTCCTCCCCACCCATCTGGCTAACCCATCCTTGCCTGGTCTCTCTGGCAGGTGGGCGGACGCACCATGCTGCCCATCCGCTGGATGCCCCCGGAGAGCATCCTCTACAGGAAGTTCACCACCGAAAGTGACATCTGGAGCTTTGGGGTGGTTCTCTGGGAGATCTTCACCTATGGGAAGCAGCCCTGGTACCAGCTGTCCAACACTGAGGTGAAGAGTGGCTCGGCGAGCGTGGGGTGGGTGGCAGCGCCGGGATTGGGGTCGGGGAGAACGGTTGGGTTAGTTCCAGGGATCAGGGTCTTTGAGCTGCTGGTTCTCTGATGAAGTCAGCTAGGGGGAAAGGAGATGGGCTAAGAAATAAGGGGGGACCCCATCTAGGATCCCATCCCCCATGGCTTAAAGCAGATGCTCGTAGCATGCTGTCCCTCGTGTGGCAGTGCAGTCTAGAGGTGACAGCCGGGAACTGGGAGTTGTGACTCCTGGATTCTGTCGACAGCTCTGGGAGGAGGCGGAACAGGAGTCAGGACGCCTGGGTTCCATTGTGCGGTCTAGGGGCCCGAGGAAGGGATTGGGACTCGGGACTCCAGGGTCCTCTCCCCAGCTCTTCCACTGGCTCGTGTGTTCTCAGCTTCTGTCCCCTGCGTCCATCGGGGCTAAGAACACTCGCCGGGTGGGGATCAGTTTGCAGGATCTTCACACGACGAGATGCCAGGGATGGGCAAAACACCCTCCGCCTCGAACAGGGCCCAGCCGGTCCCGCTCTCTGGGATGGCCAGGGCTGAGCAGGGAGGGGCCAGCCTGGCTCTAGGGCTCATGGGGGTGGAAGATATTTCAGTTCTCCAAAGCATGAAAGATCTGATTCAATTTGCTGGCCCGGGGTGAAACCTGACCTGCCCCTAACAAACTCACTGCGTGACCTAAGAGCTTCCTTGCCCATCCCTTGGTCTAATGTTTCCCAGAGCAGACGGGGAGTCCCCCAGAGCAGATTGATGGCTCTTTCCCTCCCTTCTGCTGAGCCCAGGGGGATTCTGGGGAGCGGGAGCCCAGTGTCTCTTGGTTTCGTGTCGATGACCCCCTCCCATGGCCCCCAGATTAGAACAGCTAAGGGCCAGTTGGAATTGGGCAGGGAGGGGGTCATCACCAATTTATAGATGGGGAAACCGAGGCACAGAGCGGCGAAGTGACAAGGGACTCAGCAGCAGAGCTGGGAAAGGACCCGGGAGTCCTGACTCCCCTTCCCGTGTCTTACCCCCAGCACCGTCCCATGCCCCCAGCTGGAAGGGTGTAGATAAGCTCAGTCCTGGGCAGAGAGAGCGTGTCGGCCATGTCCTCCGCTCAGGGCTAGTCATTGCGGGGTTGAAACTCGGACATTTCATCTCCTCTTCTGCTTCTCCGCAGGCCATCGAGTGCATCACACAGGGCCGGGAGCTGGAGCGGCCCCGAACCTGCCCCTCGGAGGTGTACGACATCATGCAGGGTTGCTGGCAGCGGGAACCCCAGCAGAGGCAGAACATTAAGGAGATTCACAGCCGGCTTCAGGCCCTGGTCAAGACCCCTCCCGTCTACCTGGACGTCCTGGGCTAAGGACGGGGATGGAGACGGGGAAGGAAACCGGCTCTTCCTTCAGGACGACCCCACCGGGATCCTCCTCCTACCTCCTCGCCTGCCCCTCGCCCCATCGACGCATCGGCCAGGATCCCACCCCCATCCTGGGGTCAGAGGTGATGGGACCACAGAGAGGTTCCCCGTCTCTGGCCTCGGCAGGACTGTTCCCTCAGCCAGGGGCGTCGGGATGGGACCGAGTTCCCCAAGACCTGTCAACCTCATACGAAAGTCGCTCCCTTTGGCCTCTTTCCAGCTCTGGCTGGTGGCCCGGGCTGCTGCCCTTTGCCCCCCGAGAGCGGTGGCGGGAGGGCGCGTGCTGCCCTCAAGTCAGACTCAGCCTCCAGAAGCCTCCTCACCCGCCGAAGACAGATGGGACAGACGGATGCTAAAGGGACAGATGGAGGACACCCTCCACCTCAGTGGGTGGGGGACCCCTGCCCTGTGTCTCTTCCTACAGCAGACTCCACCCTGGCACTGCGACCCTCCTTCCGCCCCCTGCTAGGTGACGCGGACGCATCAGTTATTAGTTACCCACTGGCTGAAGGACTGACGCCAGCCATGTATATTTCAGGGGGAGGACGCTTCGTGGGCCCAGACCCCCAAGGTTTGGGGGAAGGCCAGCGGGGCGGGGGGAGGGGGCGGGGAGGATTGCTGTTGAATGGAATGAACGTGTTTAACGCTATTTATCATTATACACGCTAGCTCTTTACTGTAGTGGCTTATCTGGGGTGGGGTGGAGAGATTGGGCCAAGTCCTGGGGCTAGTTAATCGTAATAACGGGACGTTTGTCCGCCGCAGGGCTGGCTGTAAAATCCCTTCGCAGCTCTTGGGCAACGACACCCACCTCTGAGCACCCAGAGCAGCGTCCAGACGTCCACGCTGCAGTCCTGGGTTATGATTGCAGCTAGCTGTGATCTAGCCGGCTCCGGGACAGACAGCAGCAAAAACGCAGCAGCACTGGCTTGAGCGTGGGCCGTACCGGCCTGCCCGGGACCCTGGGTGATTACGCCTGGGCTGTCCTGACTTCACAGCTCTGGTGAGGGCCGACGAGAGTGGGGGAAGCCGGTACAAATTACCGGGGTCCAGCAGTCCGGGATGGGGCCCAGGGCCTGGCTTCCCCGGCTTCGTCAGCCCTGTTTAGCCGGTCCACCCTTGCTGGGGGGCCCGAAACTTTTTTTTCCACCGGGGCCCGAACCCGCTCTCGGCGGCCCTGGCTCTGGTACCCACACTAGCTAGATTAAGTCGCATCCCATGATTGCAGTGTGTAGCCACACCCTGAATGTCAGACCCGCTGTTGCCTGGCCCGTGCGAGCAGATCCTCCCCTGGTGACGCTGGAGGCCTCAGGCCCTGCTTGGTGATTGTGGGCTGGGGCTAGGAAGTCCATCTGGCCAGCTGCTAATGGGAGGAGCTGTCTGAGCCGGAAAGGTGAGTCAGGGAGCTAGCGTGTGGCTGCCCAGGCAGTCAGTCATCCCCTCCTGACCCAGGGGTCACTATGGTTCTCTGAAACCGATGGGGCCTGATTCTGTTCCCTCACCCTCATGGAATCTGGAGTGACTCCACTGAAGTTGCTGGGCCTGATTCTCATTTGCACCGAGGCCCCTTTTTGCTGCTCTGGCAGCGTAAAGGGGCTTTAGCTTTGGCATAAATTATTATTCTGTATTTGTATTGTGATAGCATCCAGGACCGCAGTCATGGGTTAGGACCCCACTGAGCTAGATCACTGCTGTGAGGGCTTGTCTACACTTGAAAATTAATCCAGATTAAGGCAGGGTGTGAATTTAAAGTGCTGTGACAATTCCGGAATAACTCTGGGTGTAGACAAGCCCATCACAGTTCCATCCGCTTTATGGCCCCTTTACATTGCCAGAGCAGTGGAAGGGCCTACACCCAGACTGACACCGGTTAATTAAACTGGTTTAGTTAAAAGTGGTGCAAACCGCTGTGTGGACGCTTATTCAGGTGTGAAGGCAGCTTATTCTGCTTTAGTTTAACCCTAAGCCCGTTGCCAAATGACTAAAGTGCAATAAACCTGATTTAAACCAAAATGGAGGGAGGGGGAAAGAGCGTGGCACCAGTTTAACTAAATCAGTTTAAATTCACACCTTAAGGGCTTGTCTCCCTGGGGACACTCAGGAAAATTAATCCATATTAACATTTAACGTGGGTTAGTTAAACCACATTAAATTCCTTATTCAGAATAAAAGTTTCCCCTTAATTCATGGTTTTTCCTTAATGCAGTTTGGACATGAATTAAATTAAACCAAGTTAAGGCCACTTTCATTCTGAATGAGTGTGTCCACACAGGGGCTTAATGCAGTTTAACGAATCCACTTTAAATTCACACCTGTAGTTAATTCCACTTAACTTGCCCATGTGTCCCCAGAGAGGCAAACCCTTAAGTTAAACAAGTGGAACTTTCCCCTGGAGCCCAAGCCTCCGTCACAAGGGAATTGATGCTGCTGTAAGTGAGAACAGGATCCTACGAATCTAGAAGCTGCCTTCTGGATCTCTGGCTTTCTCGGTGTTCCTATCTCTGTAGCGGTGTTTCTGCCCTTGGCAGGGCTCTGGATAGCAGACGTGGCTTTCTGAGCACTACGTCAACTCTGTGAAGGAAAATAATAAGGAATAAAATCTCCTGTCCATTTCACTCAAACTCCAAGCGCTGGATGGAGCGGGACTTATTGCGTCTGCTGTTTCTTTACCGTGGGGGCTAGCCCAGCGCCTGGCTTCATTGGAAAATTATTCTCTTTCCTTCCTAAAAGGATTATTCCCCTGCCTCCCTCCTCCTCCGCTCTCTCCTTCACCCTTGGCCACGGCTTCCCAGTCAGCCAGCGCCGTGACCAGCGGGAGGTCAATTCAAGCGGCACCCGGCGCAGATCTGCTAGGGGTGGGTCACGTCGGGCCATGTTGCTACACACAGCCAGGCCCTGTCTGCTATGCAGTGCCTTCAGGAGGAGAGATGGGTTTAAGGAGAAATCAGAGCATCTTGGGACACACAGGAGGAAGGGAAAGCGCCCGTGTGCTAAGAGAGGAAGGAGTGCCTAGGGCAGGGGTGGCCAACCTGAGTCTGAGAAGGAGCCAGAATTTACCAATGTACATTGCCAAAGAGCCACAGGAATACGTCAGCAGCCCCTCTCAGCTCCCTCCACCCCTCCCAGTGCCTCCCGCCCACTGGCAGCCGCGCCGACCAGCTGTTTCGTGCCATGCAGGAGGCTCTGGGGGCGAGGGCCTGGCAGGCTCAGGGGAGGGGGCAGGAAGGGATGGAGTGGGGGCAGGCCCTGTGGCAGAGCCAGGGGTTGAGCAGTGAGCAGTCCCCGGCACATTGGAAAGTTGGTGCCTGTAGCTCCAGCCCCGGAGTCGGTGCCTAGACAAGGAGCCGCATATTAACTTCTAAAGAGCCGCACGTGGCTCCGGAGCCCTGGGTTGGCCACCCCGACCTAGAGGGTAGAGTGCGGCTCAATTCCTGGTTCTTGGTGTGACCGTGGGCTTGTCTACATGGGGAGCAGTTCTGGAGCAGCTAGTCCTGATTAACTCCGCGGGGGCGGCGGTGGTGGGGGGGAACGCTCTTACTCCAGAATGCGAGTGTCTTGTTCCGAATTAGCTTAATCCCTCTTGGACGTGAATTAAGCGCATTCAGAATAAGGGCAACCACGCACTGTGTTAACCAGGGAGAGTTCATCCCTTTTAAATTCACGCCCTAGCTTATCCCATACTAACTTTCATGCAGAGAGAAACCCTCTGCCTAGGCCGAAAGCGGGTTGTGTTGTTTTTTTTATCTTGCTATAAAATTTTAGTGGAGGCAAGGCCAGGTAGCTTTTACTGCAACGTAGCAATGCTATCCCTCCCCGGCCCGGCTGGGACCTCACTACATTGCCATAAAAACTACAGAGCCGGGGCACCCCCAGGATTTTGCAGAGAGCTACCGCCCTGGGAAAACACGGCCTTTGGCTGCACGGAAGCCACGGCCTGGTTCTCTCTGTACTGCAGCTTCACGCAGGGGGTGTGAGCAGACAAACTACACTCGAGATTGTGAGGTGCTCTGCGGCTCCAGGGCTGGGGTGGGGTGTAGATAGACAGGAGCTTCGCTCTCTTGCAGGGGAATTTAAGCACTTCTGGATCTACGACTGCTGTTCCGGCAGGGTGCAAAGGCTCTGTTCACGGCTTGGGGCGCGGGCAGGCTGAGCGTCACAGCCCCATAAAGCACAGACACTGGGCTTGCCCCAGAGAGCTGAGATCTCGGGCTGCTTTCCCGTAGCTCAAACGTTGCCATTTGGAAGGAGGAAACGCTGCTGCTGCCTGCCAACAGCCAAATAAAGGGGAAGGGATCCTTCCAGTGGGGTGCTAGCTGCAGGAACGGGGGCTCCCGGGTTCCCAGCTCCTGCCACTCACCTTGGGCAAGTCACTGCCCCGCTCCGTGCCTCAGTTTCCCCATCTGCAAAGCAGGAGAGTGACACGTTACTTTATAATGTGCTGAGCATAACCGGGGGATGGGGGGAGAGGGAAGGGTCAGGATCAGATCTGCCCCTTGAACAGCTGGCCAGCTGCACGTACGATCTCCCCAGCCCTCCCCCTGGCTGGCCGTCGCCCCACAACAGGGGGTTACCATGGTGTTGGCTGTATCTGGTACATGGGCCGCCCTGTGCCACCGGAGCAGCAAGAACTGTTGAGAGCTGGGGAGGGGGGGAACGTTGTGAGACATTAATCTCAAGACAACTGCTGAGCCAGCCTTGGGCTCAGAGGTTCCTTCTACCCCTTGGGGGGCCCAGTCCCCAGAAGGTTCCAGGGACCGGGGTCGCTGCACCAGCGTCTAGCGGGGCTGGTTCTCCAAGGCTGCAGTCACGGCCTGCTCTGCCCCGGGAAAGGCGGGGGTCACCCCTGGGGAGCATGTGTGTGACAGGCCCCATTGTGAGCCCGAGCCACGGAGGATGGACAGCCCCTGGGCTGGGTGTTCAGCGCACGCTGTTCGCTCCAGCGGTCCCTGGTGTGTTGGCCAAGGGGGTGGCCGTCACACAGGCACCCGTCCGGAAGGCGCAATGAATGTGTCTCCTTTGGCAACTGCACGTTGGATGTAACTGCAGGGCTCTTAGCAGTGGGTGTTTGCAATGTAGCAGCACCTAGTGCCCCTCCCCAGGCCGGACGCAGTGAGAGAGAGTCCCTGCTCTGAAGCATTCAGAGGCACAATAGGCAGCTCTGCCACTGACTTTTTGGATGATCTTGGGCAAGTCACTTATTTCCCTGGGCCTTGGTTCACCATTTCCTCGGTCTTGTCTGTTGAGATTGTGAATTCTCCAGCCCAGGGAATCTCTTTCACTAGGTGTTTATGCAGCGCCCGGCACAATGGGCCCCCCCATCGCAGCTGTGGCCAGTCACATCCCCACCCGGGGTGGCTCAGAAGTACCTCCAGTGCGTGTGATCATAAACGCTTGTGACGTGTTCCCTTGGCTTCCAGCCCCGCTCCCCTCCCTTCGCTTCCAATAAAAACGCTTTCGCCTCACGAGGCTGCTAATGTAGTTACTCGCAACGGACACGTGTCACGCCGGTTTGCAGCCTTGCCTCTTTGTGCCGGCCCCAGTCACCTTGCAGAGCCCTCTTGCAGAGGGGCGCGTGGCCAGGGGCCAGCTGTCAACGGCATTCGGTGTTACTTTACTCTGCAACCTGAAAGGAGGCCCAGCCAGCAAAGAACACACATGCACCTTCATCGAATCAAACGCCTTATCGTATCCCCGGCAGCATCCCCATAATCACATCTGCGGGGTAATGCTGGCGCTAGCCTGCTGCCTTGCTAATGTTCGGGCCCTGGATCTGACTGTAATGGAGGTGAATTGATTTCATCTGGGCAATTAGTGACTGCAGGCTTCGTCACTGCAGGTACTTTGTTACCCACTGCAACCTAAGATAAGAAATGGGGACTGCAGCCTTGGCAGGGGCAGGACGGTGGCTTCGGGCACTGAAGCAGGGGTTGAACTTTTCCAGATCTGGGGGTTTACGGGTGGGGAAACTGAGGCACGGAGCCAGGCGCAGGGGTTTGACCACGCTCGCCCAGCAAAGTCAGCAGCAAAGCCACGAATTGGCCCCAGGGCTGGTGGTATACACCCCTTTTGGTGCTATCATGAGCCAGCAGTGAATGTATACAGGGCAAAGCTTATACAGTGCTGAGACAGGACTAAACTCCTGGTCTCCTGACACCAAACCCAGTGTCTGGCCCACTAAACCACCCTGTTTGAGGCTTGTCCTGGGGCACGAGAACAAGGGGGCCTGCAATGCAATTAAAAGTGGCCAATTCAAAGCTGCTAAAAGGAAATACTTTTTTCACACAAGGTGTGTTTAGCCTGTGCAGGGCCGGCTCCAGGGTTTTGGCCGCCCCAAGCAGCCAAAAAAAAAAGCCGCGATCGCGATCTGCGGCGGCAATTCGGCGGACGGTCCCTCACTCCCGCTCGGAGCGAA